GATATAAGCTACTCGTAGCCCGCACATAGTGATACACAAAGGTCTAGAAAGAGCTCAAGAATCAGTATGGGTGCTATCGTGCTATACTCGAAGGTACGTGCACCTATGCTTGCCAATCTAGATCGCTTTGTCGCAGTCTCAAAGTCTGCATAAGTATCCGGGAAATTGATGGTACATTGCCAGCGGTCCAATGCTGTCGAAAGAAAGAGACGATTGGGCTTTGCCTGAAATCGACACTCCAAGGTCACGATGATGGATCAGGTGGGAAGAGCGAAGCGTCAATTAGGCCGTTACGAGAATTGAGTCGGGCCATGAGGTGAAACCGGTGGATTGTAGTATGCTCAAAGACAGGTGTGGTAGGAGGGCCACATTCGAATCCTGATTTACCAGGTACCGAACCCTAACACGTCCCCCCATCCGAGCCTTTCTATTATCCTAACACTAAGCTCTTTCTACCCGATAAACTACTAGTACTCCGTTTATGCAGCGAGCACCGATCAAGCCACATAGCTGAAGAGGAAGGCTCATCCCGGCCAGCTTGCAGTTCGGCTTGGTCGTTCCATGCATGGTGCTGCACCGGACTGCCCTGGACCCTGTGTTCCTGCGCTGCTGGGAGCATGTGCTTCTTCGTCGACTGTATCAGTATCTAGTGACAAATATTGACCCGGTGGCGCCGCTGCTGGTTTGGTTAGCCCCATGCTGCTCTGTACCTAAGACAGAGCCCAACGGCACCACCCGGGTAGGGCGGATGTTCAGATGTTGAAAACAGGTTTCACCGGTGTTGTGATCGGTCATTGGGTGTTGATCAACGTTATAGTATAGTAGAGTAGAATAGATTAGATTAGAGAAAGAATAGAATCAAGTAATGAAGGAATGATTATTAGGAATTGTGTGATACGGTGTTGTACTTGTCGGTAGTTGAAAATTCGAAAACCGTTCTGAGCGCTTTCGCTTGTCATTCGTCTGGACGCCTGCTGCCGGCTGAGTCCCCAGCACGCTTAGGTTCAGCCGGCACCTCGGCTAATTTCAATTCAAACAAAATGTGCCGGCACAGCTTATGCGGAATCACATAAGAACTACCCGCTGAAAAAACACAATTCCACTGAAATGATATCCAACCTGTCTGCTACAATTATACTAGATTCTCATCTCCTTATTCCCAGCCTGCAGGACAGTAAGTCCGTTTTTTCTGACTCCTTCAACACAATATTGTTGACAATACTTTATTATACAGTATTCTTCACAAAATGCTCTTATGTGTCGGCATTGGCATTCCTCGTCTTTGACTGCAGTTGAGCAACTTACTCACAGCGTATTATCTGGTCTAATACTGATGCGCGTTCTTAGTTCTCATGTTTCCACAAGAGGTAGGGGAGCTTCGTCTATTATTTACCCTACACGAAATATCAGCATTTCTATTAGGTTGAATATATCTGGAAAGGAGATTGGGGATTTGGAAGAATACTTTATATAGCGGTATAGTAACATGTTCATTCCCATCTCTTCCTGACTATAAAACTCCCGCAGATACGCTGTGTTGGTCTTAGTACCCTCATTCTCTTCAACATAGGTCAGCAATGGTGCGATCAATGTCAGACAGAAATTTACTCAGTAATATCTCTTTAAAAGTCCTTTTCAGTATAGTTTCAACCCAGGTACGAGGAAACCTTTTCCCTCTTTGTTTTATAGGCTTATAAAGGTTCCGAATGATCTACCATATTCCGCTAACAGTTGTATGTGACTTCGAAAGCCTTTTTTGTTCTCGACGCTTCTGACCAGGATTGATCATATAGCTGCGTTACCTATCTGTACATCACTGAGATACTGTAAGCTTCCCTTTTCGCATTACTTGAAAAACTCCTGAAGCAGTATTAGTTTGGTCACAATGGGTACTCTCGCCGAAGGTCAGCCATTCAGAGGATCTGGTCTAATAGTGATATACAATACTGATTCTGAGTGTAGTCTCCTTGATTCCAAGGGTGAGTTTTTAACTTGAGTATTTCTAAAAAGGAGAGTTGAAATTAATTTCGCACATCCCTTCCCTAGCTATATGCCGTCTATGAGCGTAATAAATACGTCTTAGCGTTTGCGATCTTCTGTTGTTTGGCTGGAAATACAGGAGTCCTCATACTTAGCTTTATCCAAGGTCCTATGGGTGAGATTATCTTTCAATACCAGTCGCATGCGCACATATTTGCTTACGCAATTACGGGTCCACAGGACTTGCTCTGTCTCCGACTCTAGAAATTTCCGGTTGCTACGCAGTAAATGTACCTGAAGATTTGAAGTTTGCACCATTGCCCGGCCTGATAGGAGAATTAATGCTGTGCTTGCTTATGGTGTATAAGGCGTGGACGGTATATAGATCTAGAAGCGGAAGTCCAATGCTATTCAAAATTCTAGTCCGTGATAGGTAAATGATGTTACTTCTTGTTGCCATCTATATTGGACTGACTCGCTGTATCTTATAATTACTTAGCATTCTTTACTTTTCATGGTAAGCGCTTTCTTCAACTCGTCCTCCATTATCGTTTGTAATAGGAAGCAGTATTATGTGCACCCACGTTGTCAACATAGCGATATGGAACGTAGCACGTTCGAGTCTTGCATTCGTCGGGGTTAGGTATGTTTTTCAATAGTAGCAGTAGATACAGCTGACGCCGAATTTAGCTGGCTTGAAGCAATTCCATGCTGTATAGGAACCAGATTACTCATGAATATTCGGACGGAAAGCGCAGCTTCCAGTCCGGAGGCGGAAACATTTCTTACGTTTGCACAGGCAGGGAGGGAGGAAAATGAACGATATGGATCCCAATGCGGAACAACACATTCTGCGTCCGTGATTCACGTTTGAAGCCTCGATAGTATCCTGCCGGCCATTTCTTGTACAGTCGGCCTTCCGAGATTTTTTCTCCCTTGTATAGTTTTTAGGAAGACTCTCAAAGGTAGTGGCCTCGGAGAAATTTGCGAGACGGTCGATTAAACCGTGTTAAACGTGGAACCGCGTTGTGTGACGAGAACCTAAGTATTGACGAATATTAGATTAAAATGGAGGAGACATCAATGTTAATGAGCGAACATCCTGGAGAAAATTCCATCTAGGCCCTTTGCTGCGTAACGCTGCGAAGAGGATGGCAAGAAGATAGTACGACAGGTCAGGCCTAGCCTATTGCTACTGAATCCGGATCGGCTGTCTATCATAACTAGAACACTCCATGAATGAAATTAATCGTTAGATACCCAACGAGGGGGCCGGAGGAGAAAAGGTGAGTTCGTGGCACGCAGTGAAGGTCATTGTATGGTCATTTTTGGTTCTATACTCTGAACTTGTCGGCATCGAAAAATAATGAGAACATATAGAGGCGTACATGGCTCCTTGCCACCATAATATCTCCTGAACCGAAGCCCGGTTCATCAGGCAGGTACCACGTCCGCTTCCAGCATTTTTCTCCTCGCTATTCCCCCCAATGTTTTAACAAGAGCATTCATAGTGCCTATTTCAGTTACAATGAGAACTCGTGCTATAAGATCAACCGTGCAGTGTCCGCTGTTTGTCACTGCATGGGATATTATCGACTATGTTGAACTTGCTTGGAACCTGTTGCATTCGACGAGGTCATCTTAAAGGTATATAAGAATCTTATATAACATGTCAGCATACTAAAACGAGTTTTATCAAATCTCTAGACACTTACGAAGGTAGGATAAACACCAACATAGCAAGAATCCGTACCACATCTCAGCTTGAGACTCAGGGAAAACAATGAGTCAATTAGCAAGCGCCTCACGAGCAATAAGGAGTTAGAGATCCAAGCATAACGAACAATAGGTGAAAGGGAAGGAGCGAACACTAGGGCGAATACATCGCTAACATCAAGAATATTGATACCCAATATTCAGGATCACGCGAACAACAGGATATGGTACCTTTGTACCTCTTAATCGCTAAATATATGTTAAGAATGGACGCGTTCATTCTAGGTCTACGTCACGAGGCACGTGACTCCTCATTCCGCGAATTCACTCCTTTATTCTTCATCCCTTTATCTATATTCTATTCTCCTTTATCTACTCCTTATAGTCATTCTCTCATTGTCTCGACTGTTCTCGCTTTAGTATAAATCTCGAAACCCATGGCTATCCATTCCTCAGCTCGCAGTTTCTGACTTCTCGGACTCGATAGGTACCTATTCTTATATTACCTTCGCTCGCAGTTTCTGACTTCTCGGACTCGATAGTCATAAAGACTTCGAGTTAATCCTTTTACCCGCCCTTGCCCTTTCCCATTTCACTTCCTTCCATTTCTTTTCCATTTCACTACTTTTATTCTGTATTTCGCCTCCGCCGGCTTGAGCTCGTTCCATGGAAACGCAAGAGAGCGGCAGCGACACAAATAAAACTTTATTTGTTGGCCAGTCACAACGAGAATTAGACGTTAAGAAAAAGCTAGCGAGGATGTACACCACATGGATGCTTTAATAATAAACCACTGAACAACCAAAAAGACGGCAAATCTTCTAAAGGGGTGTAAACTGTACTAGTAGAGTGGCTTATACTCAGACCGTAGATTGACCTAAGAAGTAGTATATGTGTAGAATAAGAATGAGGAGTAGGGTCTCATCATTTGTGAAGCTTCGTTTGAATTTATTCAGATAAACTCCAAGCATCCTGTTGGATTCAATGCAGAGTATTTTAGGTGGTTTTATCAGAGTCAAAACATTTCGTTCTGGAACGAATTTGCCACCAGTCCCAGATCGATAGTTCCAACAGGGATAAATTGAATTTATTTTGAGTGGAGTAAAATATAATATGCAAATGAACTGTAGAGAGGAGAATGATCAATCGACGGGTGAGCGTGATACACCGGTACCCTGATACCGGCTATTGAAAGGAATGTAATTTAAATTGCACGAAGTGATGAGAATGAGCGAGTGAGACTGTGAAGTGGCGAGAGCTCATAATATGTCCCCGAAGGGATGATTTTTAACACCAAAAGCATGGATGAGATGGCCGAGTTGATCTAAGGCGGTGTGCTGTCAAATTTCATCTCTTCGGGGGCGTGGGTTCAGATCCTACTCTCGTCATAACCTTTTGTCGGGCAAGAGCGAGATGAGGAATGCATTGGAGGCGATGTTATATTATTCCTATTGGTGTAGGATTTTGTCCGCCAAATACAAAATATATTACAGCTTCTCTATCACATTCTGAAGTTAGGAGTTTTCTCAGAAATTTAATCTCCGAACCGCATGCCCATGTGCTCGAATGTTTCCCCTAGCTCGTGGAAGATAATTGCAGTGTAAAAGGACACAGTTTAAACCAGACAGTGACCAGAAATCAGCTTCGTTGGGAGAATGAACAAAGACAAAATTGCATCTAACTTTTTTTTATCTTATTACGACGACGAGCAAAATACGGAGGTTCGGCATAACCGTCAGAAGTAATAGTTAATAGGAGGTGGCTGCAGCTTTGACGGTGTATCAACTCGAATCCTAAGAGGAAGATATAGAGCGTCGTACAGGGAACTAAACAGAGAAGCTCCTGGTTGTTTATATAGCTTTGAATCCTGTTAGGTTTGGTATGCGGGCAATATTTATATTATCAGGGTCTAAAAATGCATTCTAATCGACAGTAGCCGCAAACGCCTCAGGGCCCAAATCCAACAGGATGAAATAGAATTATTGAGCTTTAGATTCGGAAAATGGATGGTTCTGGTGAACGAGCCCTTTCTGTTCACGAACTATTGGTACACCTTGCGGTATTTGGACGAGACTTAAACGCACAAGGGAATTCGGAAGATATCAAGACTCGTCGACGTACTAGACCCTACTATAGCGAGACACCGATATCGGTGACGAAAAAGAAATAATCGCCACACATAACAAGTAAATGATATTATTCGCATGAATAGAGATAGGTGAATGAAATATGAAAGATGAGAGTGGATGGCTACTCGGAGCTATATAAGGACACAATGCTTGGTGATGTTTGGCAGCCCGGGCGTCAGTGGGATGCGTCATTCATGTTCCCTCACTGGGGACACAACTTTATTTTTGATCCAGGAATTTTATATGAAATCCATCACCGGATCAGGCTTTTATATTATTTCCTTGGAAGTGATATGTACAGGAAATCCAGTAAATCATTATTCTGTTCCTGTATTAATAGGTAAAATAAATATTTGTTGGTTTAAAGCTTTAACTGCAAGAATAGCTATGAAATATTAATTATTTACACCAAGAGAAATTCTTGTGGAATGTGGATATTATCTGGAATTTCTAGCTAAGGATAAGGTGTTTCTTTTTAGAGATTTTCTCTGGGCAAAGGAGCCTGGAATGTTTGTGACAGGTAAGTTTTCCTTTTAAATATCTTGTATGAAAATATCTTCAGAATTTTAGAATATTAATATGACTTTTCATTGCTC